TATCTATCTATCTATCTATCATCTATCTATCTATCTATCTATCTATCTATCTATCTATCTATCTAATCTATCCTTTCCTCTATCTATCTATCTATCTATCTATCTATCTATCTATCTATCCGTCTATCTATCCTTTCCTCTCTCTCTCTATCCATTCATTCCTCTATCTGTCTGTCTGTGTCTGTCTATCTATCCATCCATCCATCTATTTATCCGTTCCTCTATCTATCTATCTATCTATCTATCTATCTATCTATTTATCTATCCTTTCCTCTATCTATCCATCCATCCATCCATCCATCCATCTGTCTATGTATCCTTTCCTCCCTCTGTCTGTCCGTCTTTCTGTCCGTCCTTCCATCCATCCATCCGTCTATCTATCCTTTCCTCTATCTATCCTTTCCTAATCTATCTATCTATCCATCTTTGGGGTGGGACTAGATGGCCTTCTTTGGGGCCCCTTCCAACTCCCCTTGGGGAGATAGGGAGCATTATACGTAACATAATATTATTATCATTATTATTGTTACTTCCTTACTTACTAGTAGTAATGATAGTATATATTAATTAGTACATATATATATAATATATTAATTAGTATATATTAATTATATATATATATTATATTAATTAGTAGTAGTAATAGTATATATTAATGCATATGGAGCCTTTCAAGAAACCCAACAACAATTGGCGACCACGAAGGGACTGTTTCAGGTGTGAATGACCAGAATCGTACGGAAGGGCCCTCTTGGCCATCTAGTCCATCCCCTCCAATGTCTTGACAGGACATTTAGGAGCAACCCCAGAGAGATGTCCTGCAACCCAAAGTCCTCCGAAGATGGGGAGTGTCTGAAGGCCCATTTGGAGATGTCCAGCCTGGAGCTCTTCCTGGCTCGGGCCGGGTGGCCTTCCCCGCTTTGTGCCTTTGGCCACTCCGCTTGCTTGGCATTCCCTTGACCGCCGTTGCCGGGACCCCCGTTGCCAAGGGGACCCTGGAGTGCCTCGGACAGGCGGGAGGGGAGGACTGCGTCCAGTTCCAGCCTTCTGGGGAACCTGCAAGGGGGTCCGGCTTGCTTGCTTGGGGGGTCCCTTGCCACACTTGGCTCATGGGCCACCCTTGCAGGGGGAATGGGCTCTGGGTCTGCCACCGGGTCAAACTTGAGAACTTTCTTAGCTTTGGGGGATTTTTCAAACCACCTTGCAATGGCTTGAAGGGTCTTGTGGCGGATCTTGGATTGTGATAACTTTTGTGTGTGTTTGTGTGTGTGTTCAAAGGGATGTGAACCTGCCTTGGGTCCTGTGGGAGCAGAAACCGAGCAAAGGACTGGACAATAAGGCAAGCACCGTCTTTCCATTCCTCCTTCCTTCCCTCTTTCTGTCCGCCCGTCCTCCCTTCCTCCTTCCTTCTTTCCTTCTTTTCCTCCTCCCTTCCTTCTGTCCATTCTTTCCTTCCTCCTTCTGTCCTTCCTTCCTTTTCTCCTTCCTTTCCTCCCTTCTTTTCTTCCATCCTTCTTTCCCATCTTCCTTCCGTCTTTCTTTCTTTCCTTCCTCCTTCTGTCCTTCCTTCCCTTCCTTTTTTTCTTTCCTTCCTTCCTCCCTCCCTTTCTTTGCTGCTTTCCTTTCCTTCTTCCTACTTTCCTTCCCTCTCTTCCTTCTTCTTTCCTTCCCTCCCTCCCTCCCTCCCTCCCCTTTTCTTTCTTTCCTTCCCTCCCTTCTTTCCACTTTCCTTCTTTTCCTCCTCCCTTCCTTCTGTCCATTCTTTCCTTCCTCTTTCCATCCTTTCTTACTTTCCTCCTTCCTTTCTTCCTTCAATTATTCTTTCCCATCTTCTTTCTTTCCTTCCTTCCCTTCCTTTTCTTCTTTCTTTCCCTCCCTCCCTCTTCTTTCTCTTCCTTCCTTCTTCTTCTTCCTTCCTTCTTTTCCTTCCTTCCTTCCTTCTCTCCTTCTTCCTTCCTTCCTTCTTTCCTCCCTCCCCTCCTTCTCTTTCCTTCCCTCCCTCCCTTCTGACCATTTTCCCCTCTCTCCCTATTTCTGTCCTTCCTCCCCTCCTTCGCTCCCTCACTCCTTCCTTCCTTCCTTCCTTTCCTCGCTCCTTCCTTCCTTCTGGTAATCCGTCCTCCTATCTTCCTTCCCTCCATTCCTTCCTTTTCTCCTTCTCTTCCTTTCCTCATTCCTTCCATCCTTCCATACCTTCCTCCTTCCTTTCTTCCCGTCTTGTCTTCCATCCTGTCTGTCTGTCTGTCTTTCTTTCCTCCTGTCCTTTCTTCCTTTCCTTTTCTTCATTATTTCCTTCCCTCCCTCCCTTTCTTCGCTGCTTTCCTACCTTCCTTCCCTCTCTCCCTTCTTTCTTTCTTTCCTTCCTTCCTTCTTTCTGTCCCCTTTTCTTTCTTTCTTTCCTTCCCTTCCTTCTATTTTCCCCTCTACCCCTCCTTCTGTCCTTCCTCCTCTCCCTCCTTCTCTCTTTCTCCTTCCTTCCTTCCTTTTTGTCTTTCCTTCCTTCTCTTTCCTTCCTCCATCCCTCCCTTCCTCCTTTTTGTCCTTCCTTCCCTCTTTCCTCCCCCTTCTCTTTCTTTCTTCCTCCTTCGTTCCTTCTGTCCATCCGTCCTTCCTGTCTTCTTTCGCTCAATTCCTTCCTTTCCTCCTTCTGTCCATCCATATTTCCTTCCTTCCATCATTCCTTCCTACTTCCTTCCTTCTTTTCCTTCCTCCCTTTCCTCCTTCTCTTCCTTCCTTCCTTCCTTCTTTCCCAGGAGCCTGGGACCCCCAATCGGGGTTCTTCTTTGCAGGAGAGCCAAGGCACGTCGGATCCTGTCCGGCCGGAGGGATGGGGCGGAGTGCAGTGTTGTGTGTCCGGCTCCAAATATTGCACTTGTCCCGGCCTCCGGCCCCTCGGGCCCAACTCCGCACAACAAGGCACCCCGACAACACACACCAGGAGCCGCCCAGGCGCAACAGCGAGGGGAGTGGGCTCTCCAGACTGCAAACAGGTCCCAGGGAGGGAGGCAAAGAGAGGGGACCGGGAGGGGGGGGGGTCATCCTTGGGCATTGGGAGGTTCAAGGGGGCCGGGCCAGGCCTCGGAAGAAGGGATTCGTAGCTGGAAAATCCATTTCCAATTATTGCATTGCAAATCAAACAATCCCAGAGTTGGAACACACCCCAGGGACCATCCAGTCCAAAGGAAGACACATTTCGATCCCTCCCAGCAGATGGCCATCCAGTCTCTGCTTAAAGACTGCCAGAGAGGGAAGAAAAGATTAGATAGATAGATAGATAGATAGATAGATAGATAGATAGATAGTGATAGAGTGATAGTAATGCAATAATAAAGAGAGTGATAGAGTGATATATAAACAGATGGAGTGATAGTAATAGAGAGATGAAGTGATAGAGACAGATAGTGAAAGACTGATAGTGATAGATAGATGGTGTGATATAGTGTGACAGACTGATTGATTGACTGACAGAGTGATAGAGAGAGTGTGGGAATGATAGATAGAGATAGTGAGAATGATAGAGTGATAGTGATAAAGAATGATTGATAGTGATAGAGTGATAGTAATAGAATAGTAGAGAGAGTGATATATAAATAGTGATAGTGATAGACAAAGTGATAGAGACAAAAAGTGATATACTGATGTTGATAGAGAGAATGATAGTGTGATAGGTGGAGTGATAGACTGATAGACAGATAAAGTGATAGATAGTGATAGTGAAAGATAGATGGACTGATAGTGATAGCGAGAGTGATAGAATGATCGATGGAGTCATAGTGATTGAATGAGAGAGTAATAGGTAAATAGATGGAGTGATAGTGATAGAAATATACAGCAAGACAGAAAGTGACAGAGAGAATGATAGTGTGATAGAGTGATAGATAGATGGAATGATAGAGAGTGATAATAAAAGAGATGGAGAGATAGATAAAGTGATAGATAGATAGATAGATAGATAGATAGATAGATAGATATGGAATGATAGAGAGTGATAATAAAAGAGATGGAGAGATAGATAAAGTGATAGATAGATAGATAGATAGATAGATAGATAGATAGATAGATAGATAGATAGATAGATAGAGATGGAATGATAGAGAGTAATAATAAAAGAGATGGAGTGATAGATAGATAGATAGATAGATAGATAGAATGATAGAGAGTGATAATAAAAGAAATGGAGTGATAGATAAAGTGATAGAGTGGTAGATAGATAGATAGATAGATAGATAGAGAGTAATAATAAAAGAGATGGAGTGATAGATAGATAGATAGATAGATAGATAGATAGATAGATAGATAGATGGAATGATAGAGAGTGATAACAAAAGAGATGGAGTGATAGATAAAGTGATAGTGTGATAGATGGAGTGACAGATAGATAGATAGAGTAATACAGAGAGTGATAGAGTGATAGAGAAAGTGAAAATCTGGAATGTTCCCAAAGCAAAATGGGTTCGGAAGAAACCTCAAAACCTCAGGGAGTGAGGGCGGAGGCCCGGGGGCCCTTCCCTCCTCTCCCCACAACGCAGACCCATATCAATTATTAGAAAAAGAGCCGAAGTTTTATTGGTGAATCCGTCTTTCCCCCCAAAAGGCCGAGAGGGAACCCCGGAGATACCTGGAGAAACCCGTGCCTTTGTGGGACCGGCCCCCCTCCTCCTCCTCCCTCCTTCCACCGGAATGGCCAAGCGGCTGCTTCGCTGGGGGCCTTGGACCACCGGGGCCCACAGAGGTGTCCCCGTGGTCCAGTCTGTGGTGGGCGCTCCGGCCGCTCTCCTTCAGGGCCTCTCGAGTAAAACCCGGCGGAATGGCTCAAAGTCCGCTGGGATGGTGTCTGCCGAGAAAAAGAGGAACGCATCAGATTTTGGAAAACCTTTAGCGGCACGAAAGTGGGGCTGGAGAGAAGGTTGGCCCACAGCTAGTCCAGCGGTGCATTGGCCCTGCAAAGGGGTTGCAATTCTACACTTCTTCGGTGGTCATCCCTCCATCAACCCTTCTCCATCCCTCCATCATCATAATTCCTCCAAATTATATCTATCTATCTATCTATCTATCTATCTATCTATCTATCTATCTATCTATCTATTCATTCCTCCGTCCATCCATCCAGCCCTCCATCCCTTCATCCATTCCTCCATCATCTCTCCATCACAACTCTATCCTCCCTCTATCCATTCCTCCCTCATCCATCCATTCCTCCCATCATCCCTCCATCCGTCATCTGTCCATCATCCATTCCTCCATCATCATCATCATCCCTCCATCATCCCTCCAAATAACATAACAAAATTAACACAATATATATGAAATAATACTATAATTAATATCTATATATGTGATATAATATCATCCCTCCATCCATCCATTCATCCCTCCATCATCTCTCCATTCACCCTTCCATCATCTCTTCTCCATCCATCCCTCCATCACAACTCCATCATCCCTTCATCCATTCCTCCATCATCTCTCCAACACAACTCTATCCTCCCTCTATACATTCCTCCTTCATCCATCCATCATCCATCCATGCCTCCCTCCCATCATCCCTCCATCCCTCATCTGTCCATCATCCATCCCTCCATCATCATCATCATCCCTCCATCATCCCTCCAAATAAAATAATAACAAAATTAATATAATATATATGAAATAATACTAATACATATATATATATTCCCGCCACCCATCCATCCCTCCATCATCTTTCCATTCACCCTTCCATCATCTCTTCTCCATCCATCCATCCATCTCTCCATCACAACTCCATCATCCCTTCATTCATTCATTCCTTCATCATCTCTCCATCACAACTCTATCCTCCCTCTATCCATTCCTCCCTCATCCGTCCATCATCCATCCATCTGTCCATCCCCCCATCTATCTGTCCCTCCATCATTCCGTCATCATTCCTCCATCCATTCCTCCCTCATCCATCCATTCCTTCTTCATCCCTCAATCTATCGATCCCTCATCCATACATTCATCCATCCTCTATCCCTCCACCATTCCTCCATTTATCCCCCCTGATCCATCCATCATCCATCCATCATCCCTCCATCCATTCCTCCCTCATCGTCCATCATCCATCCATCCATCTCTCCCTCCATCTATCAATCCCTCATCCGTCCATCTGTCCATCATTCATCCATCCATCCATCATCCGTTAATCCATTCCTCCCTCATCCGTCCATCCATCCATCATCCATCCATCCATCTCTCCCTCCATCATCCCTCTATCAATCAATCCCTCCCTCATCCGTCCATCTGTCTATCATTCATCTCTCCATCCATCATCTGTCCATCTTTTCCTCCCTCATCCGCCCATCCCTCCCTCCATCCATCTATCAATCACTCAATCAATCCCTCATCCGTCCACCTGTCCATCATTCATCCATCCATCCATCGGTCATCCCTCCCTCCATTCCTCCCTCATCCCTCCCTCCCTCATCCATCCGCCCCTCCATCATCCTTCCATGATCCCTCTCTTAATCCATCATCCATCCATCCATCTCTCCTTCCATCATCCCTCTATCATCTATCTATCTATCTATCTATCTATCTATCTATCTATCTATCTATCTTCCCCTCATCCGTCCATCTGTCCATCATTCATCCATCCATCCATCATCCCTCCATCCATTCCTCTCTCATCGGTCCATCCATCCATCATCCATCCATCTCTCCCTCCATCATCCCTCCATCTATCAATAAATCCTTCATCCATCCATCTGTCCATCATCCCTCCATCCATTCCTCCCTCGTCCACCCGCCCCTCCATCATCCCTCTTCCATCCTTCCATCACCCCTCTCTCAATCCATCATCCTGTGTTAATTCTCCAAATAACATAATAGTAATATAAAATAATAATATAATTAATATAATAATGTAATATATAATAATATGGGTCTTCTGCCCCCCATGGGACCTTTGTTGGGAAGCCTTCTCACAGCCGCCCCCCATAATACCTTTGAGTTGTACTGTTTCCCCCCCCCCCCCCAAATATCCTCTTGCTTTGACTGGACTCACCGTTGCAGCGATATTGCAGGTTGGACCAGATGATGTTTTCCTGGGAGAAGCAGAAAACGCCGAGGCGCCCGCCTCGCATGGTGGTGTCAATGACCACGCCCGAGTCGGCCACCAGTTGGGGGCCCTCATAGAGCAGCACCCTGAAAAGGAGGGGGGGAAGAAGTGGGGGTCACAGTATATTCTATCTATCTATCCATCCATCCATCCATCCATCCATCTATCTATCGCCTTCTCTGGGGATCTTTAAGCAGATGCTGGATGGCCATCTGTTGGGAGGGATCTAATTATGTATTTTTTTTTATCCTGGCAGAAGGGGGTTGGACTGGATGGCTATTGGGGGTCTCTTCTAACAAATCTATCTATCTATCTATCTATCTATCTATCTATCTATCTATCTATCTATCTCCTTCTCTGGATGTCTTTATGCAGAGGCTGTATGGCCATCTATCAGGAGGGAATGAATGGTGTCTTTTTTCCTGGCAGAAGGTTGGACTAGATGGCCCTCTTTGGGGGTCTCTTCTAACCCTACAATATCTATCTATCTATCTATCTATCTATCTATCTATCTATCTATCTATCTATCCATCACCTTCTCTGGAGGTCTCTATGCAGAGGCTGGATGGCCATCTGTTGGGAGGGATCGAATGGTATATTCTCACCTGGCAGAAGGGGTTTGGACTGGATGGCTCTCTTTGGGGGTCTCTTCTCTGCCTATCTATCCATCTATCACTTTTGAGCAGAAGCCAGATGGCCATCTGTCAGGAGGGATCAAATGGTGTCTTTTTTCCTGGCAGAAGGCGTTTGGACTGGATGGCTCTCTTTGGGAGTCTCCTCTCTGCCTGCCTAAATATCTATCTATCTATCTATCTATCTATCTATCTATCTATCTATCTATCTATCATCTATCTATCTATCTATCTATCTATCTATCTATCTATCTATCTATCACCTTCTCTGGGGGTCTTAAAGCAGAGGCTGGATGGTCATCTGTCAGGAGGGATCGAATGGTGTATTCTCACCTGGCAGAAGGGGATTGGACTGGATGGCTCTCTTTGGGGGTCTTCTATCTATCTATCTATCTATCTATCTATCTATCTATCTATCTATCTATCACCTTCTCTGGAGGTCTTTAAGCAGAGGCTGGATGGCCATCTGTTGGGAGGGATCGAATGGTATCTTTTTTTTCTGGCAGAAGAGGGTTGGACTGGATGGCTACTGGGGTTCTCTTCTAACTAACATTTCTATCTGCCTATCTATCTATCTATCTATCTATCTATCTATCTATCTATCTATCTATCTATCTCCTTCTCTGGAGGTCTTTAAGCAGAGGCTGGATGGCCATCTGTTGGGAGGGATCGAATGATATCTTTTTTTTCTGGCAGAAGAGGGTTGGACTGGATGGCTACTGGGGTTCTCTTCTAACTAACATTTCTATCTGCCTATCTATCTATCTATCTATCTATCTATCTATCTATCTATCTATCTATCTATCATCTCCTTCTCTGGAGGTCTTTAAGCAGAGGCTGGATGGCCATCTGTTAGGAGGGATCGAATGGTGTCTTTTTCCCTGGCAGAAGGGGGTTGGGACTGGATGGCCTTCTTTGGGACTCTTTCCAACTCTAGGATTATATATATATACATACACACACACACACACACACACACATATATTATATACATATGTATGTATATAATGGCAGAAGGGGGTTGGACTGGATGGCCTTCTTTGGGGCCCCTTCCAACTCTGGGATTCTGGGATAGGTTGTGAGGGGCACCCCTCCTGGAATGCCCAGTTCCCAGGCTTGGCTCCCTCCCCGGCCTGCCTTGTCCCATTGTCCGCCCTCTTCTCTTTTGGCTCCAGAAAGGGGGGAAAGGGCCAAAGCATTCCAAGCTGGCTCCGGGTCGCTATGGCAACCAGGACAATAGCCCTTGGGGCCCAAGCGGAGGGTGGGGATTGGCAGGGGGAGGGGGGTGGGATGGTTGCCGGGGAAACAACCCCCCCCCCAATCACAGGGAAGGGGCCTCCCAGGGGCGCAGGGCAAAGAGGGCCAAGCCAGAAAGGCTTTCGTACATAATGAGAGCCAAACGGCCCCCTGCTGATTGGCTATCGGATCCTAGAGTTGGAAAGGACCCTAAAAGGCCATCCAGTCCAACCCCCTTCTGGCACCACCCAAGCCTTCCCAACAGATGGCCACCCAGCTTCATCTCTACGTCCCTCCAGACCAGGGCTGCACAACCTACAGCCCGCGGGACACATGTGGCCCGCATAGGCCATTAGTGCAGCCCACTGAGCTTGCTATCCATGCGCCACCTGTCCGGGGAAGGAAAGGGAAAGGAGGGAGGGAGGAAGAAGGGGAGGGAAAAGAGAGGGAAGGAATGAGGGAGGGAGAAAGGGAAAGGGGGGAAGGAAGGACGGAAGAAAGGAGGAAGGAGGAAGGAAGGAGAAGGAAAAGGAAAGAAAGGGGAGAAAGAAGGGGAGGAAAAGGAAGGGAGAAAAGAAAGGGAGGGAGGGAAGGGAGGAAGAAAGGGGAAAAGAAGGAGGGAGGAAGAAAAAGAAAGAAAAAGAAGGGAGGAAGGAGGAAGGAAAAAGGAAGGAAAAGGGAGGAAAAGGAAAAGAAGGAAAAGGAGGGAGGAAGGAAGGAAGGAAGGAAGGAAAAAGAAGGGGAAGAAGGAGAGGAAGAAAAGAAGGAGGAAAAAGAGGAAGGAGGGGAAGGAAGGAAAGGAAAGGGGAAGGAGGAAGAGAGGAAGAAGGAAAAGGAAAAAGGGAGGGAGGGAGGAAGGAGAAAAGAAGAAAAGGAAAAGAGGGAGGAAATAAGAAGAATGAGAAATACAGGGAGGAAAAAAGAAAAAAGGAAGGAGGGAGAAAAGGAAAAGGAGGAAGGAAGGAAAGAGAAGGAAAAAGAGGGGGGCAGGAGGGAGGGAGAAAACTGGGAAAAAGAGGAGAAAAGGAGGGAGGGAGGAAGAAGGGATGCTAAGAGAAAGGAAGGAAGGAAGGAAGGAAGGAAGGAAGGAAGGAAGGAAGGGAGGGGGGAAGGATGGAGAGAAGGAAGGGAGAAGGGATAGAGGGAGGATGGAAGGAAAGAAGGAGAAAAGAAAAGAAGGAAAGAGGAAGGAGAAGGAAGAAGCAGGAAGAAGGAGAAGGAAAGGAAAGTAGAAAGGAAGGGAAGGGGAGAAAGAGAAGGAAGGAGAGAAGGAAAGGAAGAAGAGAAAGAGAAGAAGGAAGAAGAAGGAAGGAAGGAAGGAAGGAAGGAAGGAAGGAAGGAAGGAAGGAAGAAAGAAAGAAAGGGGATGAAAAAGGGATGAAAAAGGGATGAAAAAGAGAGGGAAGGAAAGAGTGAGGGAGAAAAGAAAAAGGGAGGGAGGGAGGGAGGGAGGGAGGGAGGGAGGGAAGGAAGGAAGAAAGGAAGGAAGGAAGGAAGGAAGGAAGGAAGAAAGGAAGGAAGGAAGGAAGGAAGGACAGAAAGACAGGAAGGACACATAGAGAGACACACAGAGAGAAGTAAGAAAGGAATGGAAGGAATCCTCCAGTCTTTGAACGAATGCATAACGAAGGTGTCTCTGCTTTGAAGGCCCGGGGATCCCGCTTGCTAGCCATTCCTCACCGTATGTAGCCCACTTGGGGCCGGTGGAGGAGGCGCCAGCGGTAGGAGGTCTTGTCCTTCCACCCGGTGTTGCGGGGGTCCTTCCACAGCAGCCGCACGTGGTCCGGAGTGTGGCCCGTGTGCCACAAGGCGTTGCGCAGGTACTCCCCGGGACCCGTTTTGGACTTCACCGCCTGCGTATACATGTGTCATTAGAATTGTCAATAGACCCCTTCCCCGCAGCCCTTTTTGGTGGTTTCGGGGCCCCATCGCGGACCTTGAGTTGGAGGCCCGGCTCGGCCACGGCTTGGAAAGGGGTGACCTGCCAGTATTTCTGCTGCATTTGCTTCCACATCACGACGTAGAAGCTGGCGCTGTCCTGGTAGGCGAAGATGAAGCCCGCGTAGTCGTCGTCGGTGGCGGTGTTGACGTGGAAGGTGCCCTCGAAGTCCACCCCGTTGAAGGCCGTGTAGCCTGCCCCACAGAAACCCACCCGAGAGGAAAGGGTGAGCAACGACCCCTCAATAAAACAGGGCCGGCAATGATGTGGTGTGCCTATGTTTTTGGAGTCAATAGCCAAATACGCAATCCCGAGAAATGCCATGCCATTGCAGTACTTTCGATAACTTCTATGCAGTGATTGGAAAGGTCTGCCACCTACAGAATGAGGATGGTACTGCAGGATACAAATACAGGGGGAGAGATACGAATCGTTTGCAATTATTTTGGTAGGAATCATCCCTCCCTGACAAATTTGAAGAACTATGCGGTCTGCCACCTAGAGAATGAAGATGATAATGCAGGACACAAATATGGAGGGAGAGCTATGGATCGTTTGCGATTATTTTGGTAGGAGTCTTCCCTCCCTGACCACTCTCAAGAACTATGTGGTCATTGGGAAGGTTTGCCACCTAGTGAGTGAAGATGGTAGTGCAGGATACAAATATGGAGGTAGAGATATGGATCGTTTGCAATTATTTTGGTAGGAGTCTTCCCTCCCTGACCACTCTGAAGAATTATGTGGTCATTGGGAAGGTTTGCCACCTAGTGAGTGAAGATGGTAGTGCAGGATACAAATATGGAGGGAGAGCTATGGATCGTTTGCGATTATTTTGGTAGGAGTCTTCCCTCCCTGACCACTCTCAAGAACTATGTGGTCATTGGGAAGGTTTGCCACCTAGTGAGTGAAGATGGTAGTGCAGGATACAAATATGGAGGGAGAGATATGGATCGTTTGCGATTATTTTGGTAGGAGTCTTCCCTCCCTGACCACTCTGAAGAACTATGCGGTGATTGGGAAAGATTGCCACCTACAGGATGAGGATGGTACTGCAGGATACAAATATGGAGGGAGAGGTACGGATCGTTTGCGATTATTTTATTTATTTATTTATTTATTTATTTGCATTATTTATATCCCGCCCATATCAGCCCACAGGCGACTCAGGGCGGGTAAGAGTCTTCCCTCCCTGATCACTCCGAAGAACTATGCGGTCATTGGGAAGACCTGCCACCTACAGGATGAAGAAGGTACTGCAGGATACAAATATGCAGGGGGAGAGATACGGATTGTTTGCAATTATTTTGGTAGGAGTCCTCCCTCCATGAGCATTCTGAAGAACTATGCAGTGATTGGGAAGGTCTGCCACCTAGAGAATGAAGATGGTAGCGCTGGATACAAATATGGAGGGAGAGATATGGATCGTTTGCGATTATTTTGGTAGGAGTCTTCCCTCCCTGAACACTCCAAAGAACTATCTGGTGATTGGGAAGGTTTGCCACCTACAGGATGAGGATGGTACTGCAGGATACAAATATGGAGGGAGAGGTACGGATCGTTTGCGATTATTTTATTTATTTATTTACTTACTTACTTACATTTTTAAATCCCGCCCATATCAGCCCACAGGCGACTCAGGGCGGGTAAGAGTCTTCCCTCCCTGATCACTCCGAAAAACTATGCAGTGATTGGGAAGGTCTGCCACCTACAGGATGAGGAAGGTACTGCAGGATACAAATATGGAGGGAGAGATATGGATCGTTTGCGATTATTTTGGTAGGAGTCTTCTCTCCCTGATCACTCCGAAGAACTAAGCAGTGATTGGGAAGGTCTGCCACCTACAGGGTGAGGAAGGTACTGCAGGATACACATTTGTTGTTGTTGTTGTCGTAGCAGGACACCGAAACCTAAGGGAAGGGTCCCGATCCCACAGAGTGGCAGATCATGCTGCAAAATGGACTTTGAAGGAGTGCCACACACTTACCCACAGCCAAACCTGGATCGCTGTTCATTGTCTGGACGATCTCCATGCCCTGGAAGAGAAGAGAGTGGGAAGAAGCAAGAGGGATGGACAAAACGGGGTGGACAAGGGGTCAAAGGTCAGGCTGTGACCCTCAAGCACAAGGGTGTGAATGTGGGGATGTCCCGTTTGTCAGGTAGAAAAATGCTGTTAGATAGGAATGCATTGCATGTACCTCCAAGTGTGTGAAAAATACAGTTCTAATGTACATGTGTTCACAGTTCTGAAAGGGTTAAGAAAGGGATAAGAAAGTTTTGAAAGGGTAAGAAAAAGTTAAGAAAGTAGAGATGTGATTCTAGAGGGAGAGCCGAGTCATTTCCTGTGATTCCTGGAGAGACGAATGGGAGTGGCTTATCTGTGCACATCCTCTTTTCCATGTATTTGCTCTCAGCCATCTTAAATACCATGTGCTCTCGACATCTGTAATCCATCGCTATCCTTGTCATGTGAGTGTGAGTATCTCTGTATACTGATAGCCGGCCTGTAAATAGTTGTATGTAGCAACAGCTGAAGAATAAACCTCCAAGAGCTCAAGCGTGCTTATTCAAGGTCAGAGGCTGTGATATGAAATCTCTGCTAACTGTGACCAAGACTCTGCAGTGGTTTTGGATCGGAACTAGCTGTTTGCCTTTGAGACAATCTGTCCCATTGCGCAGCTGGAGGAGGCGGCCGTGAGAGCAGGAATTCATATGCCTACCTACCAGGGGTGTTTTTTGTGTTTACTCTTCCTTCTACCCTCATGACACCATTGCATGTCCCGATGCACAATGGCACTCCGGACTCCATCACCCCATTTCTCTCTTTCCGTACCTGGTTGAGCACCACCCAATTGGGATCTATCTGGGCATCTCCCTCGGGGTCCAGGATGACCGTCTGGTAGGCCCGGAAATCAGTCAGTGTCACCTCGGAGCTCTCTGGACAGACGTCCAGCGGGTCAGCCACCGTGTCATTGTCGAAGTCCTCCTCGCAGGCATCTCCCACGCCGTCACCTGCGTGGTAAGGGAAGATCATGTGAAGACTCCTCATTCAGGAGAAGCATAGAGCCTAAGGCAGAGTCCAGATGGGGCTCACCATCAGAGTCCTTCTGGTTGGGGTTGGCAACCAGACGGCAGTTGTCGGGACCGGGAGCAACGTAGTCAGGGATACTGTCATTGTCATCGTCATTGTCACACTCGTCCCCGAGTCCGTCGTTGTCCGAATCCAGCTGGGAGCTGTTGGGCACCTCAGCACAGTTGTCCTTGGTGTCCTGGTGGCCATCCCCATCACTGCAGGAGGCAAATTGAAAAGGGACGTGGCCAAAGATGCAAAGGAAAGGGAGACCACTCTTCCTACAAACCATGAAGGCAACACGCCCCAGAGTGGAAAACTACCAGCCAAAGTAGAGAGTTCAGAAAAGCAAAAAGTTCAAAAGGGAAATGCCTAGTAGCAAGCAGGCATAGGAGAGGACAGATGCAGGAGGGGAAGTGGTTGCTGAGGAAAAGCAGGAACGGAAATACTGATAAGAGATGGCACCAGAAGGGAACAAAGAAAGAGATAGAGATGAGGCACGAATTGGGAGAAAATAGCCTGTGCGCATGCTCAAGGAATTGACCATAAAACTGAGTTGCATCTCAATATTGTGTGGCACTTTCTTCTGTCCACCCGGCAGGGTGAGCAGATCAAATAAACCTGTTGAACAATCTCCTGGAGGTTTTTAGGCTATTCAATAATACATGATACACAATAAAACCTTTATGACTTTAGTTGTGTGAGGATGCTCATGTACCAGTCGTGCTACATACACATCACTGCTGCCATGCACCTGCTGCCCAAAAACTAGTACCACGCCTGCACTCTACTCCGCTACGTGTGTAGCGCATTTTGCTATAGTTTGATCCCATTTAATGCATGAGCATATTCATCTTAAGCATCCACTAAACAACATATGCTTTCTCATCAGTTTCAGTGGCAACGGGCTTGCAATGTAAGTGATTTTTTTTCTTACCTGTCCTCATTAGTGTCGCAAATGTCCCCCACCAGGTCGCTGTCAGCATCTGTCTGAAAGAGACCATGAGCCATTTTCACCTGTGTCCTCCTGGTAACAGGTCATTGTAGAGTTGTCTATGGGGAGTGGATCCCCATAGACACAACACTGGCTGCCAACAATTCAGAGGGCTGGTTTTGGACCCACAAAGCTCTAAAAGGCATGGATTCAGGTTATTTGAAGGACCGTACCTCTTCCTACAAACCTGTCAGGTACCTATGAAATTCATGGACTATAATTAAAAGTTGCTGGTGAGAACTATGACAATGATTAACTGTTAACATTGCTGACGTGTTGAACTTTTGGTCAAAAACAACGTGTTTATATTATCAGAGACAACAGCGCTTTAAGTTATTGAAATGTTTACAAGGTTCCTTACATTAAGAAGAAAGTCAACACAAGGCTCCTTACGTTTACCAACACCAATTAAGGAGAGTCAACATCTGTCCGGAACTGAGATTAAGCCAGGATGTTTCAGGCTGGAAAAATATCTATCATTCATTTACAACTTTGGAACAACATCAGCAAGAAATATAAGATATCTATATAAGTTAGCGCTCATTCTGACTTTCCGAAACCAAGCTTTCCAGGACTCCCAATTGGCACAATCTGGACCCCAGTTGACGCTCCTCCCCATCCAAAATACTGGCCCTGTAACTATGCCACCACTTTGTAAAGACGACACCAGAAGCAGTAGGGACATCACTGATTTATCAGGGTCTCCTACTAGTTGTAATGGATTTACAAAATTGATAACTCAGCTAATAGCTTGTAATACTTTGTTGGCCTTTCTTCAATGTGTAGCGCTGCTTGTCTTGAAAGTATTTGAAACAGAAACTTGGCTTTAAGAGAAGCTGTAACAAGTTTATTGAAGTATAGAAAAAGCTTAATGGTTTCAATGTTTCTTAACTCTTAGAGGCACATTTCTTCTTATTTTTCTTCAAAATGTGTTTCTTTCTTTAACAGATCACTTCAGGTGCTAGCTTATTCTTTCCCTAAGTTATCTGTGTTGCAGTAAAGATTCTTACTGGGTTTCTCTCCCCCTTTTTGCTCATACACTAACTACTAATCTAAATAAGTCAACTTGACCTATCTAAACCTCACAGGCTAAAAGCCTAAACCTTCCTGGTTCTCAACACAGTAGAATCAGCCTTTCCCTGTAGTTCTCTGACTACAGACTGACCATTTCAAAATGCCTGCCCTGCCAAGTGGCAGTTGGCTCCTCTCCTTTTTCCATGGCAACCCAGCTCACCCACCCACCCACCCCAGTTATGCAATTTTAAAAACTTATCCTTTTAAACACCTATCTATAATCATACATAACTGCAGGTTAAAATTCACACTTCACCACAGGTCTGCTCTACGTTCCCCATACCTGTGTGGGGTTGCTCATCTCGGGGCAGCTGTCGCAGGCGTCCCCCACACCATCTTCGTCCCGATCCGTCTGCAATGGGTTGGGCACCTTGGGGCAGTTGTCCAGCCCGTTGGGGATCCCTAGAAAGGAGAAGGGTGGTTTGTTCTTAAGTTCAACGTGTATGTAAGTCAGATGTTTGTGTTGGGAAACTAACAATCACTCATGAGCCCTAAATGGTTTGCCTGTATGTCCTGTCCTTCCTCTCTTCCTTCTTGTCCCTGAGGAATTTACTTTTGCAACAGCTCAGCTTCTTGACCCCCACTCTTTCATTCCTCCTCCTCCTCCTTCCTCACCGTCACCGTCAATGTCGTTGTCGCAAGCGTCTCCCTCCCCGTTGCCATCCGTATCCTTCTGGTCGTTGTTGGGGACGTTGGGGCAGCTGTCGCAAGCGTCCCCAAAGGAGTCGGTGTCCGAATTCTGCTGGTCCTTGTTGGGGAAGAGCCGGCAATTGTCCTGCAAGAGTCAAAAAGGAGTTATGGGATCAAGATACCACTAAGCCCTTCGGAGAGCCTACCGAAACGAACTATAAAAAAACTATAAGGCTTTCATTTGGGGACAATTCCATTTCATGTGTTTCCGCCACCACAGACATCCCAGTGTTACTTTCTCTCTCCATTGCTGTGGAATTTGCATGACGTCGCCCACTGCTTCTCCCTGAACCCTTTCTTATTTTGGCACTACAAGGAAGCAGGGGAGCAGAAGGTGATTTATTGTATATTTCTTTAAATTCTGCCACCAACGTGAGGTATGAGGTTTTACTGTGAGATATGGCACATCAGACGCAGTATTGATGGAGATGAGACTGTTTCAACTAAAGATAACAGATGTTTAGTAAACAGCATATTGTTGCAAGTTGTAAACTTTCTTATTGAACTTTGAAGAATACTTGGTTTGAAATACTTTCCACTCTTCCAGGTTACATAGTGTCGTTTACTCTTCCAGGTTACACTGTGTCATTTATTCTTCCTGAGGTGAAGTTCTTTTTATTAAACAATGTTTCAATACGGCTATATCTCTCCTATTTAATCTGTCCTTGATCAAATAACTCAACAAGCTTATTCTTTAGCCTTAACCTAACTAAAGAAAACTGGCTATGTTTCTCCTTACAGCCTTGTTAGACTGAGAAACCTCCAGATTGCTTATTCAGGCTTCCCAAAGCCTCACTATTTCAGTTCCTTTCACCCTCTCACTGCTCCCCATACAAACTCACTGCTTCCCAGAACACTAACCAACTCCCAACTGACACAAACTGTCCATTGCTCCACTCTTTCCCCTTGGGTCCTCCCACTTCTCCACCTGCTGCCAGCTTGACTTGGCAACGCTGACTGAGGTTTTCTTTGAAATAGGCCGCTCCAGTGTTACTGTAGCTAACCCACATATATATAATTTAAAACATGCAAAGTATTAATAACTTCCGCACAGGCACACAGCAAGCAGGGAACATACTAGAGAGGTTTGGGGAGAATTGTAGGTCCTGGGATGTATAGTTCGTCTGTAAGCTAAGAACTCCGCTCTGAACTCTGTCAAGCTAAGGCGCAACTTGACAGAAGCAAAATGCTAGATCCACCAGACACAGCTCTGTAAGTCAAGGACTCTGGAGACTTTGGTTACAAAAGAAAACTCAGTTTACTAAGCACAGCAAAACACGTCCATCTACAGCGAGCGACACACAGGAAGAGTCAGGAAAACCGAAAGTCAAAACAGAACTTTGCAGCTGTTAATCTTTCTTGCTCCAAGCGGCAACTCTCTAGAAGTCCTCAGCAGAAGAGAGCTTATCTTAAGGTCACTTAATCACAGCCTCAACATAAACATTTCAGTACAGCATTTCCATTCTCAGTGGCATCCATATTTGCTACACAAGAATTACATTTAAAACTCATACACAAAATACATATAATACCTCAATAAATCCTGACAAACTCCACCAACGATGGACCTGGAACTAACTTGGCACACAGAACCCCCATGACCAATAAAAAAAATACTGGAGGTCTTTGATGGGATTTCTAGGAGTTGTAGTTCACCTACATCCAGAGCGCACTATGAGCCCAAACCATTATGGCGCTGGATAAAACTTGGCATGCATACCCGATATGCCCAAATTTGAATATTGCTGGGTCTTGATGGGAATTGGCCTGGACATTTTGGAGTTGTGGGTACTGGGATTTATAGTTCACCTACAATCAAGGAGCACTCTGAACTCCACCAAAGAGGAAATTGGACCCAACTTGGTACACAGAGCCCCCAGGTGTGGCAAAAAACACTGGATGTCTTTGGGGGAAATTCACCTTGATTTGGGGGAGTTGTAGTTCCCTTACATCTGGAGAGCACTGTGAACCCAAACACCATGGATCTGGACCAAACTTGGCACACAGACCTGATATGCCAAAATTTGATTACTGGAGGGGTTTGGTGGGGGGGGGCAGGGACTGACCTTTCTTTCTGGGCGTTGTAGTTCACCCACAAACAGGGAAACGGTGACTTCCACCGATGCTGGACCTGGACTACACTTGGTACATAGAACTCCCATGACTAACTCAACCTACTGAGGGGTTTGAGGGGACTGATTCACCATAGTGGGAGTTGTAGTTTTCCCTACAGCAAGAGAGGACACTCAACCCCTCTCCAAATGGTCCTCGTAAAAGTCCTCTTCCATTGGCATAACCAGCAGCACCCTGGCCTCCTTTTGCTAGCCATACCTCCACGTTCTTGATCCCGTCACCATCCGCGTCATCATCACATTGGTCGCCAATGCCGTCGTTGTCCGCGTCCTCTTGCCCCGAGTTGGGTGTCAATCGGCAGTTGTCCTGAAATTACGGCCACACAAAAAAAGTTTGCCGACTTCTTGTATGTGAGCATCTTGTGTCAATCTGTGTTGTTGGGACCCATTGCTGTGTCCCTTTAAAAAGCAACCCCGGGATCCCTGGGGTTTCTGTCTAAGAGGCGAGGAAATCAAGTACAACAGGTTTATTTGGACAGATCTCTCTGTTGGGTTGGCAAGGAAAAGTGCCATGCTCCCGAGACACAGCTGAATGTGTTTGTAAGTCAGAACGGGTACATATTTTAAAATATATATCCAGCGAAATATACCGTATATACTCGAGTATAAGCCGACCCGAATATAAGCCGAGACACCTTATTTTACCATTAAAAAACTGGGGAAATGGATTGACTCGAATATAAGCCGAGGGTGGGAAATGCAACATTTACGAGTCGATTTCAAAATAAAAATAGATACCAATAAAATTACATTAATTGAGGCATCAGTTGGTTAAATGTTTTTGAATATTTACATAAAACTGTAATTCAACATAAGACTGTCCAACTCTGATTCAACCATTATTCTGACCTTCTTCAATGTAAATATGCTTACCTATCCTTCCAATAATAATAAGTAGAGTAAAATAATAATAGTAATAACAATAATGGAGTAAAATAATAAAATAACAATAATAGAGTAAAATAATAAATGTAATAACAACAATAATAAAGTAAAACAACAACAATAACAACCAGCACAACAAAGTTAAATAATAAATAACCTTGACTCGAGTATTTATTTATTTATCGTGTCAGTATCAACCAGACAATTGTATTACATTTTAAACAAATTTTTAACAAACAGACAAAATGTAAATAATAAATAAATGTAAAAATGGCGAAGCAGCTGGCCTGGATGATCTACGAATGGAACAAATCAAGAACCTTGGCCCAAAAGCAAGGTGCTGACTGCTGGAGCTGATGGACAACTGCACGGCATCCTGTCAGATCCCCAAAATCTGGAGGAAAGCAAGAGTCATGGCCATCTTGAAGCCAGGCAAAGACCGCAATGACCCAAAAAGCTACAGACCAATCTCCCTGTTGTGCCACCTCTACAAAGTTCTGGAGAGACTTATTTTGCATAGAATTACGGAAAAAATAGACTCGAGTATAAGCCGGGGGAGACTTTTTCAGCCTAAAAAAAGGACTGAAAAACAAGGCTTATACTCGAGTATATACAGTATATATTTTGAAGTTTTGGGTAGCATAGAAAAGGGTAACACCCCTCTGGGGTTTCCTTTGCTGTCTGTGCCCCTGTTCAGAAGATTTCCCCTCAATTTTTGTTCCTGCGATAAGTAGATTTTGGAAAAATTGGCTTGTTGTGGAAACATACTCTGGCCTAAATTCACCTTTGCACCTGCACCACACAAAAGTCCCGTAGTGCTAACTAAACTAACATAGGCATAAATTCATAACCAGGAACACAGGAACCTCTTCCAAAACATGAATCCATGAACATGAGCACAAGACCTTCCCAAAGATCTTAATCATAGACTTGAATGTGGAACAAGAACAAGAGCGAAGGTGTACACTTTAACGCAGTGTTGCCTGCTCTAACCGTTTCAATAAGCAACACTTTAATTTAAGGCCCACAAGCCATGAAGTCATGCCTTTGACATCTGGTCTGTTTCAAGGATTTCTCACTGAGTCTCTGTGACCTCCATAATCTGACCTTCCCCTCCCAGAGATAGAGTCTCATACTCCTACTGACCTCAGGTGCTTTCCCGGGGAAATATCTTTCCCTTCCAGCTCCTTATCTTCCGCGAGGAGAAAGATCTTCTCTATCCATCTCCTCCCTGCTCTGAAATCATCTCTTTCTGACCAGACACAGATTCATCCTTCCAGACAAAATCATGATCCAAAATCATCTCATTTCCCACACTGGAAAGCCCATCATTCCCCAGTACCTCTGACTGAACAATCCCTTCATCTTCAGCCTCTGGCTGAACCACAACAGAAAGAAGGATTGAAGATAAAACTTCATTTCGAGACACTTTTCTCCCCGATAATAACTCTTTCAGGAGTGGATTTCCCTTCCAGGGGATATATTTTTTACTCCCTTCCTGTTGTCTTGGCTGTTAAGAATATATGTGTGTGTTTTGATTAATTGTATTTGTAGTTTTCAAAGTTAGTGATTGTGCACTTTGATATGCAATGTTCCTAATATTGTAATTCCTATGTGGAAAGGGTTATCTGTATCGTGAAGGAGGAGTCGTAAATCTCAGTGCTGAAAGTGTTGTACGCTGTCTAGCGTCGAGTGCATCGTATGTCATCACGTCACTGAAGAATGTGGGAGTGTACCAGTTTGTGGATTGCAACGAACAGCCGAGCCATGTAGATATTTTTTGTTTTCTCATTCTGTTTAGTTCTAGTGTAAATAGTTTTGTGTTAATTTAACTAGGTTTTTAGTCAAGAAGATGTGTTTCAGTGCCTTGTGTGTGTGCTGAGATCATCACCATTCCATTAACATCAGCCCCATTCTTAAATAGGAGTCATTAATAAGTCAGATGTTTGTAATTCGGGGACTGCCGAGATATGCATTGCGCCACAGTCCCAGCTCCCTTTGCGGCTGCTCTTCCTACCTGTGCGCAATGCTTGTGGTTGTCGATGCAGGGCAGGGGCTCGTCCGGGTAGCCGTCAATATCCGTGTCCCGTCCGCACACATTCCCGTTTCCGGCCCAACCAACATTGCACTGCAGGGCAAGGAGGACAGAAGAGTGTCAGGGAGAGACAAAAACCATTTGCAACAAGAAAGCTTTGGTTGTTTCCACAATGGATGTTCGAGGCGCTTTAGTACATTGGCTGCGATGCATATCTGGAGGAGACTGTACTTGACCACAAGATCAGCTTGGCTGCATGGTTTTGTTATTGCTTACTTGGTTATAACATTCTATGTGTCCTCTACATACATGGACAAATGGAAACTGAACCAGACTGAGGCAAAAAAGGACTTCGAACATAACAAGGAAATACTGCAAAATCAGTTTAGAGACAAGGGCTATCCTGAATATGTGATTCATAAGGCTAGTACTAAAGCTTCCAGTGTTCCAAGATCTGCTATACTAGAGGATAAGATCAAACCCAGGGATAACAGAGTAGTATGGCCTCTCACTGTGACCAACCTATCTAAACACGCTATAAAAACAGTGAAAAAGTACTGGAACTTGGTGAGAGAAGTACCATGTTGTGAGAGACCCCCCCCCCCCCTCATTGCTCATAGGAGAACACAAAACATCAGGGATATTTTGATTCACTCAGATACAGACCCTAAGCCAGTGATCTCTAAACCTATTCTAATAGGAAACTATGCTTGTCATCACTGTTCTGTATGTTCACAGTTTGTACAAACTAAGTTCTTTCAGAACCAGCACACTAAAACTCAATATAGAATCAATCACTTTGCTACCTGCTCCACTGAAGGTGTAGTATATGCCATCACCTGTCCCTGCTCACTGGTTTACATTGGTCAAACAAGCAGAGAAGTCAGGCTCAGGATCATTGAGCACAAAAGTAAAATCAGGAAACATTCTACTGATTCTATTCTGTATAAGCATTTTGTAGACCTGAACCACAGCCCTGAATCATTTCAACTACAGATTTTAGAGATGGTTACTCCACCCAGAGACACTGACTTCCAAACTAAACTTTTACAACGGGAATCTTTCTGGATCTTTACCCTGCAAACAGAACACCCAAAAGCGTTAAATAACACCAATTCATATGACTGCTTTTTATAATAGAGTAGGTTTTACCCCAATGTATTCTGAACTAATAATGATGTCACTATCACCTGACCAATGGACTTGCTATATTAGTAATGGGTTGAGTTATTTTGTTCCTATACTCGCCACAGAATAAAACTCCTAGAAGGGTATATTGATCAACAAAGAATAGCTGTGAGTATTATATTATTTTTGTTTCATATATATTATATATGATTTGTGTTGTTTGTAGACCCAACCGCCTGACGAAGGCTCTTGTGAGTCAAAACCGGTTGCTGGTTGGAGTCCATTCATGTGACTACTGGAGTCTACTCATATATAATAAAGAACAGGACATTTTCTCAAATGAAGACTTTGTTTTATACTTCAAGAGAAGAACCAGTTGTTTCTACTTAATGTGAATGTGGCGGGTTTTTTGATATGTGTATTTGTAATATATACATTGAGTTAATTTAGTTATTTTCATATTACCACAATCAGTGGATTTTGGTCTCCACAGCAAAAAGGAACCTGACAGGTTGCTTCTGCCCTTTCCTTCCCAAAAGACTCACCGCGCAGGAGACCTCCCCGTTGCGCTCAAAGAGGCAGTAGCCGTTGATGTCGCAGGGGTTGTTGCTGGGGCTCTCGCAGGTCTTCTCTAAGGAGCAGCCCCCCGTCTGGTTGCCCACAAAGCCCGACTTGCAAGGCCCGCACTTGAAGGACCCCTGGAAAAATGGAGAAGCCACGTGGTCAGCCCCTGAGTCTGTCACCTTGTTCTTCTGTGAGCATGGAGAGAGACAAGATGTCTCCAACACAATAATCTCCTGCCCCGTTTGTGCCCTTTCTGGACACACGGACTCACCACCGTGTTGGTGCAGATGGCGTTGGGATCGCACCCGCCGTTGTTCCCGTCGTTGCACTCATCAATGTCTGCGCAAACCTTGGAGAAAGAAGCATTTGAGCTGCAAAAGTTGCTGCTGTTGCTGCTGCTTATGCATCTTTCATTTTTGCAAATTAACCCTCCTCCCAGCACAACCCTCTTAAGCCTTGTTTACTTTCCAATCTAGTTATGTAGTGCTTTGGCTAGTCTTTAATGATGCTTACAAGATTCCTTACGTTAAGAAGGAAGTCAACACAAGGCTCCTTACGTTTACCAACACCAATTAAGGAGAGTCAACATCTGTCCGGAACTGAGATTAAGTCAGGATGTTTCAGGCTGTTTACTTTCCAATCTAGTTATGTAGCGCTTTGGCTAGTCTTTAATGATGCTTACAAGGTTACTTACATTAAGAAGGAAGTCAACACAAGGCTCCTTACGTTTACCAACACCAATTAAGGAGAGTCAACATCTGTCCGGAACTGAGATTAAGTCAGGAATTTCAGGCTGGAAAAATATCTATCATTCATTTACAACTTTGGAACAACATCAGCAAAAAATATATCTATATAAGATAGCGCTTATTCTGACTCCGAAACCAAGCTTTCCAGGACTCCCAATTGGCACAATCTGGACCCCAGTTGACACTCTTCCCCATCCAAAATATTGGCCCTGTAACTACGCCACCACTTTGTAAAGACAACACCAGAAGCAGTAGGGACGTCACTGATTTATCAGTGTCTCCTACTAGTTGTAATGGATTTACAAAATTGATGATACAGCTAATAGCTTGTAATGCTTTGTTGGTCTTTCTTCAATATGAAAGTATTTGAAACAGAGACTTGGCTTTAAGAGAAACTGTAACAAGTTTATTGAAGTATAGAAGAAGCTTAATGGTTTCAATGTTTCTTAACTCTTAGAGACACTGGAACATAGCCGTGCAGCCTGAAAAACTCTCAACAACCCAAGCTTTAAAGGATCATTAAAGACTAGCCAAAGCACTACATAACTAGATTGGGCATTATGCGCTGCTCACCTGTCGGCTGGCCTTGGCGTAGTCGGCTCCGACGCCGGAGATGAGGTTCCCTCTGTAGCCGGACGGACAGGGCTCGCAACGGAAGCCGGGCGCCGTGTTGAGGCACTTGGAGCCAGGGAAGCAGGGGTTGGCGTAGGCACACTAGTGGGAAGCAGGGATGTCGAGGCCTCAGAAGTGAAGGGAAAAGGATCCGCTCCTCGTTTCCCCTCCTCGTTTCCCTTCCTCTCACCTCGTTGATGTCGGCACAGTGGGTGCCGTTGCCCTCGAAGCCCGGCGGACAGGGCCCGCAGCGATAGCCCGGGTATTCGTAAGTCTCCATGCAGTCGACGCCGGTGAAGCACGGATTGGGGTTGCAGCGGGAGCGGTGTTCGTGGAAGCCTGGGCGAAGGGGAGACAAAGGGGATTGTGATCCCCTAGAGTTCCTCTATGCCGACGATCGTGCCATCACAGCACAAGCAGGGAACTTTGAAATGGTTGAACAGAAGCTCTCCCAAGCTTTAGGTGCCCTTACTGCTTATTACAGGGGAAACCAGCTGATTCCTAATCTTCCCATTCTCTGTTAATGGAGACCTACACATATAGAGAGAGCTTCATCTATGCTGATGATCGTGCCATCACAACCTAAGCAGGGAGCTTTGAAATGGTTGAACAGAATTTCTCCCAAGCTTTAGGTGCTCTTACTGCCTCTTACAGGGGAAACCAGCTGATTCCTAATCTTCCCATTCTCTGTTAATGGAGTCCTACATATATAGAGAGAGCTTTATCTACGCTGACGATCGTGCCATCACCGCCCAAGCAGGGAGCTTTGAAATGGTTGAACAGAAGCTCTCCCAAGCTTTAGGTGCTCTTACTGCCTCTTACAGGGGAAACCAGCTGATTCCTAATCTTCCCATTCTCTAATAATGGAGACCTACATATAGAGAAAGAGCTTCATCTATGCCGACGATCATGCCATCAGTGCCCAAGCAGGGAGCTTTGGAATGGTTGAACAGAAGCTCTCATGACATTCTGCCTCACTGTCCGTTCTGGACTCACCACACACTTGGCACTCCATGATGGTGTTCCGGATTAGGGACATCTCCTTTACCTGGAAAGAAGAAGAAGGGTCCTATCATAAGCAGAGCAGAGAGGGCCAAATTAGTGCCCAGGAGCTCTCCATCATCCTGGACATTCATTGGGTTAGTTTTGGGTGGGGTTTTTTGTGTGTCAGGAGTGACTTGAGAAACTGCAAGTCACTTCTGGTGTCAGAGAATTGTCCATCATTGAGTACATTGCCCGGATGTTTTGGTGTTTTGCCATCCTTGTGGGAGGCTCCTCTCATGTCCCCGCATGGGGAGCTGGAGCTGACAGAGGGAGCTCATTTGCGTTCTCACTTGATTCGAACCTCAGTCCTACCGGCACAAGGGTTTCACCCATTGCACCACCAGGGGTTCCTGGACCATTTGTTATAAGCCTAGGACAACTTCCTTTGGGCTGCCCATGAAAGCATACTATGACGTTCCCTCCACTTTGGTGTTGGTCGGCGTTCACTCACCTGATCCCTGACGTCCTCCTGAAGCTCCATCAAGATCTGGTTGAAGAGGGTCAACTGCTTCACCAGCGCCTTCGTCTGCTCACCTGCCACAGATGAAGAAAGCCTTAGGCCTAGAATGTGACTTCAATTGAGTCTGGAATTAGATTTAACCCACAGTCACAGTTATGAAGAGTTTGCCGTGCTGTAAGGGCTCTGGGTTTCCTGATATGAAGTGGTATAGGAGCCTCTCAACAGAAAAGTCAAGTTCAAAACACAGAGAAGGGCAGGCTTAAGTGACTTAGCTTCTTTTCTAGAAGATCTAAGGCAGTGGTTCTCAACATGTGGGTCGCGACTCCTTGTGGGGTTGAACGACTCTTTCACAGGGGTTGCCTGACACCATCAGAAAACACGTATTTCTGATGGTCTTTGGAACGGAGACACCATCAACTTTTTCCCACCCCCTTCGCTTCCCATAAGCAAGAGGGAGGTGGTGACATCACTCAGCCACACCCCTTCCACACCCGATTAGCTTCCGAGCACAATTCAAAGTGCTGGTCTTGACCTATAAAGCCCTAATCGACCCAGTTTACCTGTCCGAACGGATTCTCCCCTATGAACCATCAAGGTAACTAAGATCTTCCGGAGGGGCCCTGCTCTCGGTCCCACCACCTTCGCAATCACGTTTGGTGGGAACGAGGGACAGGGCCTTCTTGGTGGTGGCTCCTCGGCGTTGGAATTCCCTCCCACCAGAGATTAGATCTGCGCCCTCCCTCCTGACCTTTAGAAAACTAATAAAAACCTGGCTTTGGAATATGGCATTTGATGAGTGAGTCAATAACCCTGACCACACGGACGGGTGGTGATGAATTATGATTTTATTCTGACGACTTGGCCTTATGCAATTATATGACTGTATTTTAATGTGTTTTATATGGAGTTTTATAGGATGTGATGTTTTAACTATTGTGTATGAACTCCTTTGTTGTAAACTGGCCTGAGTCCCTCGTCGGAGGTGAGAAGACCGGTATATAAAAGTTCTAAATAAATAAATAAATAAATAAATAAATAAAATTACAGTAGCAACGAAAATAATGTTATGGTTGGGGGTCACCACAACATGAGGAACTGTACTAAAGGGTCACACCATTAGGAAGATATCTTTCCCTATGAACCTTCTAGGAATTTGAGATCGTCTGAGGAGGCCCAGCTCTCGATCCCGCCTGCCTCGCAGGCACATTTGGCAGGGATGAGAGACAGGGCCTTCTCAGTGGTGGCCCGTCGGCTGGGGAACTACCTTCCTACAGATATTAGATTGGCCCCGTCCCTCCTGACCTTTCGAAAACGAGTGAAAACCTGGCTCTTTAAGCAAGCATTTGGAGCTGCAACGTGACCAGTTAACTAAAAATTGTAATACGAACATGGAACGGCTAAGACTATGTAAACAGATGAGGAAGTTGGATTGGTAGACATTGGTTTTTTATTCATTTTTATGGTTTTTATATGTATTTATGATGTGTTCTAATTGTTTTTAATTGATATATGTATTTCTATATGGCATCTAATTGTTGCCGATCTGTACACCGCCCTGAGTTGCCTTTAGGCGGGCTGAAATGGGTGGAATAAAAATGTCGTAAATAAATAAATAAATAAATAAGGTTGAGAAAAACTAACAGTAGCAAAATTACAGTAGCAACAAAAATAATTTTATAGTTGGGGGTCACCACAACTGTATTAAGGGATCGCGGCATTAGGAATAATAATAATAATAATAATAATAATAATAATAATAATACTTTATTTGTACCCCGCTACCATCTCCCCAAGGGACTCGGTGCAGCTTACATACAAGCAATAATCACAACAAACAACAATACAAGCAATTTAAAATAAAACATAAACATATAACATTATCAATAAAACACTGATCAAAGGTAGTACTGTACGCAGATGACACTGTAATTCTCTCAAGGATACCCACTGGCCTAAGATGAGCCCTAAGTAGATTTGCAAACGATCACCAGCAAGAGCATCTTAGAATTAATTTCCGAAAGAGCCGAGGCCGCCTTCAAAACTCACCAAAGAGGGAATGGATCACGTTGGAGACTGCAAAAGGAAAAGGAAAGAGGTCAGGCTGTGGATCGACTGATCCTCCCACAGGAAGGATTTCAAGAACCGGTCTGCCTCCATTCTGGGCCCAGGAGGGTTCTTCCGCAGCCTTACCTGTGTTCTGCATGGACTCGTCCTCTTGGAAGGGGCACTCGCTCAAGGTTCCGACTCGGCTCATCGAGCCCCCCAGGATCAGCTTCAGCGACTCCAGAGACCCCTGATCCAGAAACAACAACAGGGTCACTGTAGTGAAATTGCTACTCTATGTTAAAGTTTTGGTGTATAGCTCTATGTTTACACATGGCAGATAGGGAAGAATAGGCACAGACAGGGTAGCAACAGCAGAGATAGGATTCATTTGCATATGTGAAGCCGATTGGTCATATGCAGATTAGTGTAGGCCCAGGATTTGAAAAGGCTGCTAGGCCAAAATGACAGTTGGAGAGAGAGAGCTGAACATTCCAAAGGGGCGGAGCCAAGGTTCTGAAAGAGGCAGTTAGAGTGAGGGAGTTTGAAAATGACAGTTAGGAATCTGTGTGTGAAGAGGAGAGTTGGTTTTTGAGTGCCTGATAGAAATAAGCAGTTATGAAGATGTGTTAAAGACTTCTGATATAGAGAAGCAGTTAGTTAAATAGAGCTCGAGTTTTAAGGAACATAAAGAAGGCTAGTGTTGCCTTAGTTCAGAATATAATTCAGCCAAGAGTGTGTAAAGCAAGTAACATGTTTGTGAATGTAAAACATTGATAGTTTATTCAGAAAAGTTAACCAAGTAAATGATACTGACTGTAAGCCTCAAGATTGCAACAAAACACAAATGTAACCACAAGCGTTGGAGCCAGAAGTTATAAATAAACTGTGTTACTTTGTTATATACAAGAGTGTTTCATTGCCTGTGACATAAAGCACAATGGTTTAACAGCACACAGAAAGTCCCAGCCAATATAAAAGAAGAAACTGAATCAGTATAAGGCAACAAAGAGGTTTTTAATAAGGAAATAGTCTCTCTCCTTCACCACAGTCACATTGTTGGCATGTGCCTTCCAGTCGTTTCGGACTATGTGAGGCAAAACTAGCTCGGGGTTTCCTCAGGCTAGATTTGTCCAGTGGGAGTTTGTTGGGCACAAAACTTTCCCACACCAGAGTGCAGATTCGAACCCTGATTTTCTGAGTCGTCTTGCCTTGCAATGCCGTCCACCCCCTCTTCCTCACCTGCATACGGAGGTAGGCCTTCTGCCCCGTCCGCACCTCCACGGCCTCCATCTGCTCCCCGTCGATCGAGGTCATCTCCGGCAGCCCCGCATTCGAGTCCGCCTGCTTGCAGTCCACATAGAGGTCTAACGAGAGGCTGCTGCCCTGCAGGCCGCTCAGACGGAGGAGGACAGTGTGGCTGCGGCCGTCGGCAAGTGGGGCGTTCTGCAGGTTCACCGAGTGGAGCTTCCCGTCGGGACGGAGGTATCGGATCAGGACTGCGGGGAGAAAAGCTGGCCAGTTATGCACCTTGAGAAGCCCCCAGTGGTGCAGCGGGTTAGACCGCTGAACTGCTGAACTTGCTGACTGAAAGGTCAGTGGTTCGAATCCGGGGAGTGGGGTGAGCTCCCGCTGTTAGCCCCAGCTCCTGCCAACCTAGCAGTTCAAAAACCTGCAAATGTGAGTAGATCAATAGGCATCGCCTTGGTGGGAAGGTAATGGCGCTTATGCAGTCATGCAGGCCACATGACTTTGGAGGTGTCTATGGATAACGCCAGCTCTTCAGCTTGGAAATGGAGATGAGACCAGGAGCCCAGTCAGAATCAACTAGATTTAATGTTAAGGGGAAAACCTTTACCTTTACCTTATGTGCCTCGTTGTTGATGTTTAAATAATAATAATAATCACCATCATCAACTATATAAATAAAAATATATCAGATCAGGACTGTGGGGAGAAAAGCCAACCAGTTATGTGCCTTCAGGAGCCCCCGGTGATGCAGTGGGTTAAACCGCTGAACTGCTGAACTTGCTGACCGAAAGGTCTGTGGTTCAAATCTGGGGAGTAGGGTGAGCTTCCGCTGTTAGCCCCAGCTCCTGCCAACCTAGCAGTTCGAAAACATGCAAATGTGAGTAGAACAGTAGGTACCACTCTCTGTTAACCAATTCTCTGTTTGTTTGTGGGATTAACATAACTCAAAACCACTGGACGACTTGACACCAAATTTGGACACAATAAATAAAAATAAATAAATAAATATAATAAACAAATAATTATAATAAATAAATAAACTTGATGTAACAAATAATAAAATAAATAATTATTATTGTATTATTATAGTTGATGTTTACGACATTTAAACGGTGAGTTCCAATGCCCAGAAATGTTCTGAATGCCACCTAGTGGACGTTGTAGGTATTTACACCAATCTCTTGTGCAGCGTCCAGATCCTAAACGATGGCCCACGGTCCGAATCCGGCCCTCCAAGGTCATTTCCCCACCCTAAAGTTTAGATTTAGGGTCGCCCTAAGTCTGAAACGGCTTAAAGGCACACAACAACAACTACAATCCTTATGAGCTTCACTCTGTCATCCGCCCTTGGTTTAAAGAGTTTGCGGATGCTTCAGTCGTACTTCATAAAAAGGGAAAATGAGCCTGTTTATTTCCTTTCCTTCCCACCACTCACCTTTGCTGGTCTTGCTGACCACGGAGACTTCCAACCAACGGCTGTTGTCCTTCCTGTAGTAGAGGCCGAAGAGGACCCCACCTTGCTTCGGGGGCAGGCGGACCGTGGAGAGCAGGTAGAGGTCACTGACCGACAGGAGCTCCGTCCGGATCTTGTTCGTGACCGAAGCCATGTGCCGGGCCTCCGTCACCGTCAGGAGGTCAATGACTGAAAGTGAAATAAGGGAGAGAGCTCAGTGGTGGCTTTTCTGGGCCGTGAATATCAGAAGAAGACCTACAAGCCAAACTCAACACCTTTGCAGAAGCTCGGCCTCTCGCTGAACATCGAGAAAACCAAAATCCTCTTCCAGCAGTCACCAGCCATCCCCTCCCCAATGCCAGAGATACAGCTTAATGGTGTAACATTAGAAAATGTTGACCATTTCTGCCCTTGGCAGCCACCTCTCCACCAAAGTCAACATCGACACCAAAATACAACACCGCCTGAGCTCTGCGAGCACAGCATTTTTCCGAATGAAGCAGAGAGTGTTTGAGGACCGGGACATCCGTAGAGATACCAAGGTGCTTGTTTATAGAGCTATTGTCCTCCCAACCCTGCTATATGCCTGTGAAATGTGGACTGTCTACAGACGTCATATGCAACTCCTGGAACGATTCCATCAGCGCTGCAAGTGCAGCATTTTTCCGAATGAAGCAGAGTGTGTTTGAGGACCAAGACATCCATAGGGAGACCAAGGTGCTTGTCTATAAAGCTATTGTCCTCCCAACCCTGCTATATGCCTGCGAAATGTGGACTGTCTACAGACATGCAACTCTACGACTGAAATACAACACCGCCTGAGCTCTGCGAGTGCAGAATTTCTTCTGAATGAAGCAGAGAGTGTTTGAGACCGGACATGGCCGAGAGGGAGACGCTGAAGGTGGGGCTTGTTTGTAAAATGGCTATTGTCCTCTCCGCAAGCCTGCTATAGCGCCTGTGAAAACATTGAGGCCAGTCTACAGAATGTCAACGCTTGGTAGTCATCTGAATTACAACACCGTGGCCTGGAGCTCTTGGGCAAGTGGTCAGCATTTTTCTGAATGAAGGCAGGAGTAGTTTGTAGGACCAGAGGAGGGGCATCCGAAGAGGAGAGCCAAGGTGCTTGTCTTGTATATAGTTATTGTCCTGCCAGGACCTGCTATTATGCCTAGTGAGACAGGACCTGTCGTAGGCTACAGATGTCTTAACCTTGACATCTGAATAGGCAAGCACCCGCCTGAGGCGCTGCGGTACAGTGAATTTTTCTCCTCGTATGAAGGGAAGACGGGGAGTGTTTGAGGTATTGGGACGTTCGCGTAGGGTTGAGAGCCTAGGTTTTTGTTTGTAAGCTTAATTGTCTCCGCAACCGGACTGGCTATATGCGCTGCGAAGACAGTTGGAGGCTGTCATACAGACTTATGTCAACCTTAGCAACTGAATACAACACCGCCTGAGCTCTGCGAGTACAGAATTTTTCCGAATGAAGCAGACAGTGTTTGAGGATTGGGACATCCGTAGGGAGACCAAGGTGTTTGTTTGTAAAGCTATTGTCCTCCCAACCCTGCTATATGCCTGCGAAACGTGGACTGTCTACAGATGTCAACCTTGACACTGAAATACAACACCGCCTGAGCTCTGCGAGTGCAGCATTTTTCTGAATGAAGCAGAGAGTGTTTGAGGACCAGGACATCCGTAGGGAGACCAAGGTGTTTGTTTGTAAAGGTATTGTCCTCCCAACCCTGCTATATGCCTGCGAAACGTGGACTGTCTACAGATGTCAACCTTGACACTGAAATACAACACCGCCTGAGCTCTGCGAGTGCAGCATTTTTCTGAATGAAGCAGAGAGTGTTTGAGGACCAGGACATCCGTAGCGAGACCAAGGGGGTTGTTTGTAAAGCTATTGTCCTCCCAACCCTGTTCTACGCCTGCAAAACGTGGACTATTTACAGATGTCAACCTTGACATTGAAATACAACACCGCCTGAGCTCTGCAAGTGCAGCATTTTTCCGAATGAAGCAGAGAGTGTTTGAGGACCGGGACATCCGTAGGGATACCAAGATGCTTGTTTATAAAGCTTTTGTCCTCCCAATTGTGCTATATGCCTGTGAAACGTGGACTGTCTACAGACGTCACACTCAACTCCTGGAACGATTCCATCAGCGCTGCCTCCAGAAAATCCTGCAAATCTCTTGGGAAGACAAGCAGACAAATGTCAGCATGCTGGAAGAAGCAAAGACCACCAGAACTGAAGCGATACTCCTCCGCCATCAACTCCGATGGACCGGCCACGTTGTCCGAATGCCCGACCACCGTCTCCCAAAGCAGCTGCTCTACTCCGAACTCAAGAACGGAAAACGGAATGTGGGTGGGCAGGAAAAGAGATTGGAAGATGGGCTCAAAGCCAACCTCAAAAACTCTGGCATAGACACCGAGACCTGGGAAGCCCTGCCCTGTGAGCGCTCCAGCTGGAGGTCAGCTGTGACCAGCAGTGCTGCAGAATTTGAAGAGGCACGAACGGAGGGTGAAAGAGAGAAATGTGCCAAGAGGAAGGCGCGTCAAGCCAACCCTGACCGGGACCGCCTTCCAACTGGAATCCGACGCCCTCACTTTGGCAGAACATGCGGGTCAAGAATCGGGCTCCACGGTCACCTACGGACCCACCCTGGAAGATTATCCTACTCGGACAACGAGGGATCGCCTAAGTAAGTAAGTAAGTCTGTTTTAGAGAGGAAAAATTGAGATATAGATAAAAATATAATACTAATGTATTATAATATAATAATAATAATAATAAACAAAACAGTATTACGTTTAATAATAATAATAATAATAATAATAATAATAATAATAATAATATGGCTGTGATGGTTATATGGCAAGCACATATAACGTGGCTCCCTACATGCTAGGCATGTGTTGCACGTATATAGATATAGTATGAGAACTAGAAGTTCCGGACCTCCCACAGGCTTGTGGCTCCTAAGGCATTTCCACCTGGAAAGATGCTTCCAAGCTTAGTTGGTGGCACATGTCTCCGCCAGGTTTTCGGGTGTCAGTGGTTGGCGTGGTATGTATTGGAAGCCAATGCTAAAACCAAGACTATCATGAATGGCACGTATCTTGGGGTCTTCCCAACGAGGGTGGCCACTTGGCTGCCTGCCTTCCTCTCCTTACATTCCCTTTGCTTTTGCACCTTCAAAAACAACCAAGCAAACAAGGCCCCGCAAGCAGAAAAGTAGCTCATGGGGGAAATCAGCCCGGTGCCTTTTTAAAAACCACAGAGTTGGAAGAAACCACATGGACCATCAAGTCCAACTGCCTGCCATGCAGGAAACGCACCATCAAAGCAGCCCTGACAGATGGCCATCCAACCAAGGAAGGAACCGAGGCAGAGAGTTACACTGCTGAACAGCTCTTCTTATAGTCAGGAAGTTCTTCCTTTTGACTCTCTTTCACTTATTTAGGTCTCCTCTCAACCTTCTTTCCTGCAGGATAAATATGCCCAGTTCTTTAAGGCGCTCCTCAGAGGGATTATTCATGGTCAAGGATATTTCTTTCCTTCTTTCCTTCCTCTTTTCCTTCCTTCCTTCACTCTCTCCCCTTCCCTTCCTTCCTCTTGTTCTACTTTGCTTCCTCTCTTCCTACCTCCCTTCCTTCCCTCTGACATCTCTTTCCTTCTTTTCTCTCCTTCCTCTTTTCCTTCCTTCCTTCGCCCTTTCCCTCTCCTTTCCTTGCTTTCATTCTCTCCCCTT